TCACCATGTTCAGCCATAATATGATGGAACAAGATGCCTTGCTGTAATGGCGCTAATCCATAAATATCTTGAATATTGGCCACACCGCCCGGCACCTCTGCGACCACTGTGTCAATCTCCGTCTGAGATAGAGTGATAAGCGGCAACATGTCAGGAGTAATTGTTGTACTATCTGCGGTAATCAGATTAGGGGGGATGGTTATTGCATTGTGATGGACTAGAGTTTTAGCCAGTGCGGCCAAAGAGGGTGCATCGAATACTTCGCGGACATTGGTGTCCAGTCCAACTTGTCGCAATTGCGACAACATTCTCACGATCAGTAGAGAATGTCCACCCAACGCAAAGAAATTGTCATGCCGACTGATGCGTTCAATGCCCAACATTTCACTCCAGAGTGTGGCTAGTTTCATTTCCATTTCATCTTGTGGAGCCTCATACGACTGACTGGGAAATGCCTCATCGTCTGGAGGTGGCAGTGCACGTCGATCCAACTTACCATTTGGTGTGAGCGGCAAAGACGAAAGACAAACATAAGCCGCCGGTACCATATAGTCAGGCAGTAAAGACGCTAGATAAGTGCGTAGATTCTGAGCCCGCAATTTGTTCGGATCAGCCACCACATATGCAATCAAACGTTTATCAGACCCTTCACAAAATGACTGTACAAATGCCTCGTGCACCAGAGGGTGTTCAACGAGACGCGCCTCAATTTCACCAGATTCAATACGAAAACCACGGATTTTTATCTGTTGGTCGATTCGACCCATATAAACTAGATTTCCATCTGGCAGATAATGCGCTCGATCACCGGTACGGTACATACGTGCTTCTGAATTCTCACTGAATGGATCAGGAAGAAACCGTTCTGCGGTAAGTTCAGGTCGATTGAGATAGCCGCGAGCTACACCTGCGCCGCCAATATACAGTTCTCCTTCGGCACCCAGTGGCACTGGTTCGCCATGAGCATCAAGTAAATAAACACGAATGTCAGAGAACGGGCGTCCAATCGAATGTACATATTCCGAAACTTTAATTCGTTTATAGGTAGCGCGCAACGTTTCTGTAGTGCCATACGTATTGAATAATACTGTTTGATCGTGTGTATTCGCGTGTTGTTCATACCAGTCTTTTATAATCAGTGGATCTAGTTCTTCGCCAACGAAGATCACACAACGAAGTCGATCGGATCGCGAACTGAGATGTTTTGCTTTCATTAACACTTTAAATGAGGATGGGGTCTGATTAAGCACAGTAATACCGCGGTTACATATCCATTCATAAAACTCATGAGCAGAACGGCTGATATTGAAAGGTAATATTGATAACTGACATCCATTAAATAACGCACCACATATCTCCCATACAGAAGAATTAAAAGAGGGCGAGTGGAACAAACTGCACTTGTCCTGTTTATTAATGTGGAGTTTGTTATAAGCAACATCCATAAAACGTGTCATCTGATGATGTTCAACCATAACCCCTTTCGGTGTTCCAGTCGTGCCGGATGTGTAAATTATGTAGGCGAGATTCGACGAAGTTAGTCCCAGTTTGAACGGATCCGGATTATCGATTGGTAGATTATTGCAAAGAGGCTGGTCCAAATCCA